AATCTATCAAATATTTTAATTAAATTCAAATACTAAAATTTGAATAGAATTCGAAATAAAATTCAACTCATTAATACTCTTATAACATATAACAAATTAGTATCGAGGAATGTACAATTTGCACGTAATAGCAAATAAGGGCAACCAGTACACTGCACAAAATACTTGTCACAAAAATTTAGACTAACAAGTCGAAGTTTCATGGCTGAAAAATATATATCTATAGACATGCACACATACATACACCAATTATCCATGTGATAGAATAAATTTGGAAAAAGATAAACAGAAAGGCTCGTGAGAGATCAAAATATTTATAATTTTAACAATTAATAAAGTATTGAAATAAAATAAAAAATAATAATAAAAATAAAAAAATAAAAAAATTAATAAAAAGGCTAGAAAAAGATCATGAGAACAAAGAGATCAACAAAAAAAAAAACTAAAAAAAGTGAAGGGTTATATATTCAATACATGTTTAAACCATGTGTCCAGAAAAAAGTAAGAACGTAATTGGAGACCACCATGAAAGACTGGTGAGACATGTATTTATGATTTGGAGACACACATTTAATAAATAAGATTTAATACAAAAGACTATGGAGACATACATTTACTACATTTATTACACACGACTTGACTTAGAGACAAAAGACATTAATTATTTCGTTTTCCATGGGAGAGAAATGAATAGACGAAAGAAACTTGAGAAGGCATATATATATATATATATACACACACACACACACATAGAGAGAGAAGAAGGGTCAATTGATATTTAGTATAAGTGTAAACCACTTCAATCACATCTCACACTTAACGAATGATATTAATTTCATCCGTTAGAAATTGTTGGAAATAAATATCAATTAATGTCATCTATTGATTTTGATCAAATCAATGGTATAAGATTTGGTGTAAATTTTTTACACTTATACTAGTGTAACACTTAATATAAGTGTAAGACACTTACATCACATTTTACACCGTTGATTTGATCAAAATCAACAGATGAGATTAATTAACTACAAATTAATTATTTGAAGTTATTAGAAGACAACTGTAAGATATGGTATAAGTCTTTTACACTTATACTCGGTGTCAATTGATCCCTTCTCAGAAGGAATCAATTGACAGAAGAGATCAATTGACACCGAGTATAAGTGTAAAACACTTACACCAAATCTTATATTGTTAATTTGGTCAAAATCAACAGATGAAATTAATTACAGTTATATTCCAATAACTTCCAATAATTAATTTGCTTCCAATAATTGATTTTGGAATATTGCCTTCCAATTGCTTCCAATAATTATTGATTTTTGGTTTAAAAAAATAATAATAATAAATAAAGAGAGGAGGAGGAATGAACTAATAGAATTAGCAACACTTCACATGTTAGGTTTCGACCAATAAATTAAAAGAAAAAAGAATGAAGATGTGAGATGTGCTGAGCTGTCCCAAGTTATAATTGTGCAGCAGCAACACTGCAATTTCAGCACGAAGCAGGAAAGTGAGAAGAAGATGAGTTCAAGCATCCCACCTTGACATCACTAAAAATCACCACCAGGTAAAAGATACGTGAAGCATCACGGAAGAGCTTCCTAAGCTTTACACAAGCGTTTAAATTTCCAAATTCAATGGGAAAAAAATTATTGCAGAGTTGGAATCTTTTGTGCCTGCGAAAGAATTCTTATTAAACCAAATAACATGACCCACAAAATTCTAATTTTGCCTATATTCTACTTCCCGTTGTCTGCACCAGCACACGCTCAAATTCTAACTTTGCCCTCATTCTTCTTCCCAAGTACTTATTGTCAGGCTCTTAAAGAAAAGGAGCAACAATCATGGCTGTAATGAAAACAGAACAAAACACCAGTATGGAAGCTTAAGGGAGAAGTACATGCACTGCATCAGGTTTGAGCTGCATAATTTTTCTCTTCTATACTGCATTGAGACACACTCCTCATGTGCTGGATGTTAAGGAGAGATTTAATAAACCAACCGACATGGAATAATTTATGGCTTTTCATAGTATTGGGGTTTTAGGGATCAATTACATTTTGGAGGCTGGAAGTACTTAGACAACATACAGATAATGAAAGAAACAAAAATATTAAACATTTAAATGGTCTAGCAAAACCATAGTTACCTGGATTACGGTATAGTATGAAATGCACGACGGGAATGGGTATGTAGTCCGTCACTTACTTTTCCTATGAGTAAGGGGATAGCCTTATTTGCAACGCTATTTTAGAATTTAATATGGTTAGGAGTTATTGCATGAATTGTTTTATATATATATATATATATTGTACGTACATATAACAATGGACATATTTTTAATTTCTAATTATTAAAGAATAAGATATGATTAATCAAAAGAAAGAATTCCCATCAAATCATAAATTAAAGTATAAAAATTAAATTTTAATCTTTGTTTTGGAAAAAAAATCTTAATAAATGCATTATATTTCTTAAAAAGAACTGTTGGAAAGTTTAATTTTTAATATTTGTTTTTGAAAAGGAATTCTTAATAAATACATTATATTCCCTAAAAAACTATTGAAACTGGAAGTTTAATTTTTAGCTTTTGTTTTGGACAAGGAATTTGTAATAAACATTATATTCCCTGAAAAAATTGTTGAAAGGTTTAATTTTCAACTTTTATTTTGAAAAAGAATTCTTAATGAATGCATTTCTTAATAAGCTCTAGATTTTAGGCTAATTACATTCTGGTCAAAAAAAAAAAAAATTGCTGTTAATCTTAAGAAGGAGAGTCTAATTAATGCTAGAAAGTCAGTCATTAATACTGTCCACTGAGTTATACTAACAAATTAAGACAAATAATTCAAATATGGACAAAGAAAATTCAGAATGCTGCAAATAGTGATCTAAGTCGATAACGCATCACAAATTAGGTCGCTCGACCCAAATCGAAAATTTCTAGGGATTGGGCGAAGCAGGTAACTATGCACAAAACCATACCCATACCACACACCAGAGGGGAGAAATCATTATATACAATAGAATTATAAATTTATCCGTACAGATCAACACCATTGCTTGAATCCCGAGAAAAATATAGTCTCCCTGCTCAACTTTGGTATCCCCAGGCTACAAAAAGTAACAAAACTTCTTAACTTCCTAGTAATTTTTTTTCCTTCTTCACATATTTACTTTCCCTGACACCCGTTTGATTCTGCTGCACTGATCTCTCTCTCTCTCTTATATGTACAAAAAAAAAAAAAAAATACAAGACATTCCGTTCCAATTTCTCACCATGGAGTTTCTTCACTTGCAGCAGCCTAGTGCCTCTATGTCTTTGCTTTCTTGCTGCTACTATCTACTCATTCAGTTCCAAATAATATCTCCGTCTCCCTTATTACTACATATTTTTAGTCTTTTTCTGCAGCAACTAAATCACAGTAGATTATTTCTCTCTTTTCCGGTGTGCTCAACCTTGTTTTCTAGCACCACTTGTCATGAATTTTGGAGATGCATGAGGAAGCATAAATATAACATGTGCACAAATAAGAGAAAAATAAAAAATAAAGAACATACATGATTGACAAAAGCATTCCTATATCCACACACCAATAAACTGATACCACTTTGTCAACCCTGACATAACTGTCATTTTCCCGCTAAACTTTGTTTTTGAGTTCCCCAAAGCAACACTGCTTCATATCTAATATTTTTCCCATCACTCACATCTCTATATTCCGGCACACCCGTGCAATTCTACAGCACAAACTTCCTTCCTTCCCTGTCTGTCCTTGCCTCTCTCCAAGTATTCTTCGGCATTTTGCCATATCTATGGAGCTCATTAACAAATTCTTAAAGAATGAATCAGCCCTCACCACCAAGCCGAAGTTCCATGTGCAGCACCAAAGTTAATATGCAAACATTTTTACTCCACTTGGATACAATAATTCGTAAACCAATGAAAGCCAATAGCATTAAAAGGTCTTGCCTCATTACTAATGCACATACAAGGTGCCTAATATGCCCGAACATGAAACAATCTCAGACAACTACATGAGACTGACTTCTACAAGCAAAACAGAAAAACATATTCAACTTACCATATATAGATGTCATAGTTTCAGCATAAATTCAATCAACCTTCATTTCCATGAAGTCATGTTATTAGCTAGCAATTGCTCTATCATGTGCTAAAGGCCTTCCCATTTTCTGTAAACCTATTTTTACTTGACAAAGCACAAAGATTATAATCTCAAAGTTTTTTGTATAGCTATAAGCCTATAACTTCAATTTTTAACTCAAAGATTAATTTTAAACTTCTATATCTCCTTTGTTTCTACTTACCCTCATAAATTATTAATGTCATCTAATCTACCAATTCTATATTGCAAGTTTATAACTTTTATCACACAATCTCATTGTTGAATTATGGGCATCATACTAACAATAAATTGCAACACTTGTGCTAAATTTCACCTCCTCCATCAAAATTAGAAATGAGTTCAACTACTTCTGAGTAGATGACTGAAGCTTATTCTTTTATTCATCAGGAGAAGACACATTGAAGAGATCCAATAACAATAATAAGTTTTCTGTCACATAAGAAAATCAGAAAGTCAATATAATTCATGGAAATTATTACTGTCAGAAATGGAAACAAGAATGAGTTTTGTATTAGATCAATGCATGCAAGTTATTATTGCCAGAAATAGAAAGAAGAATGAATTTTGTATTAAATCCAAGCGTGGAAATTATTACTACAGTACAAGTGCTGCAGAGTTCTCATGGACCAATTAAATATTAGTCCACATATTCAAATTGTGTTACAAAAGGCAGATCACTGACTAAACTAAGTGATCAAAAACATAAGTGGCTACACATAATATAAGGAATACCCTAACAATTGACATGCCATAAAAGTAAAACTAATTATACTTTCTCAAAACTACTTAATAAAACATATCATACCTCACTAGTGACAACAATAGAAATTCAATAATGGCAGATCATCTTCAGGAAGGAGAAGTTCTATCTCTGAAGCGATACATGTTAGCAAATTCCAAGCACAATTCACGGTCCCTTGTATCTCCCCAGCCTCCCCAACCCTTGAACCCTGCTTGATATCCTGCTTGATGCTCATAAACATGCACTCCCCATTTCGAATTGATGTTTCCAGCCTTATCAGCCTCTTCTACTCGGATTTTCACCACACCATTATCAATGCAAGAAACACTCTCTCCCTGGCCCTGGTGCAAACCACATTTCCCAAAATGAACAGCACTTGTCCTAGGACCTCGTAATGTGTAAACAGGACCACCAAAGGAAGGATAAACCTCTGCCCACATTGTTATATCCCAGTTGTAATCATCAAAGAAACAAAATTCTCTTGCCTTCCTATGTATCCTGTTCCAAACAGTCCGATTAAATGCATAGCCCACATTGCCTATCCTCTCTGCGATCAAACTCTCCCACGCCTCTCCCATTGATTTCACATCAGATGGTGCCAGATTTGCAGCATAACAGTTAGGACATTTTTTAGGCTTCAGAGCTACGAGAGCCTGTAAGTTTCGGTAAGCATTTGGAAATATATAGTGGTCCTCCTCTATGAAAAGAATATGGCCCAATATGTGATGAGTCTCCTGCAATCCATCCCACACCGTGTTCATCATCCACCACCAGTGATGCTTCAAGGAAACAATCTTTGGTGATCGGTGGTTCCCATACTGATCCGTGTTTCCCTTACATTTTTGCTTAACTGGGTCATCCTTACCTTTGCAGTCTGTTGGTGAGACACCGGGAAAGCTACTGTTAAAGACATGGGGTGAGTACGGAGCAAAAATTTGTTTCACTTGACAGAACCTAATACCCTCCACTATCCTGTTCATATCCTCAAAGTATCCATCATGACTAACTATCAGCAAAGTTTCACTAATCCCAACTACCCGTGAAAGACTCTCAACAACTACTTGAAGATATTGGGGGCGATTGTGAACGTAAAGTACAATTGATATATGATCCTTGGGCAACTTTGGAAATAAATCCAAGTTTCTTGGGGCAGTTGATTTCGCTTTTCTAGTAGAATTGATAAGCTATTCTGTTTGGGAAGGTTCAGATTTGATTTGTACTGGGAAAAGTTGTTAGGTAATTCGAACCTCTGGTCTATTTCATTCAGAGCTGGGTTTAATATAAGTGAAACTGGATTTGTTTGGAGGAGAAAAAGCAGCAATCCTACCCCTAATAAGGTAATCAGAACTACAGACAAACAACGGCGAAAAGCCGCATCTTTAATCCGGGGCTTCTTGTTCAAAGCCATAAATCCTAAAACATTGAATGCATCAAAAGTGGAAGAATCAGAACTTGAAATAGCTTAGAAGTAAAACGCCATAACTGCACGATCCAAATGAGGACAAAGATGAGTGTAAGCGTTAAAAACCTCGAAATTGCTCTTCAGAATGGCAGAGAAGCATTCCCAAGCTTCTAAAATTAAAAATTCCGCAAACTCAGCCGAAGCTTTGCTTCGCTGAACCGAGTCAACAACAGTCAATCAAGATCAACCAATTAAAAGCCTGAAACACTAGGGTTTTGTTGATATTCACGAAAAAATTGAGCGCAAAATTGAACACGAAGGTAGAAAACAAAAATCTCAGAATGGATCGCCACAAGTTCCCAAACGGGTAGTCATAGAACCTGAGCTTTAAGGTTTGCAAGCCTGGAATCCCGGCAGCGTATGAGATCAATGGTCAGAAGGGACAGAAGACGGCATCGTGGAACAGAGAAAAGACAGTAGAGAGAGTTCCACAGGTAAGACGTAGTACAAACGTTGAGCCAGGAAGAAGGTTTGTTATATGGGTTGATTGCTTCCGACCCGGAGACTTAAATCGACGGTCAATGGTCAATGTTACCACACAAGTTGGTGCTCCGTCCGAATCCAACTTTCTTTCAGCGAAAATAGAACGTGAGATCGGGGCAACGACGTCGTTGGGCCCCAGGTCCAAACCCAACAAATCCACTTGTGGTCTGTGGGGAGAAGGACATAGTGATCTCCGGATTTTTTTTATTTATTTACCAAACAAGCATTTGTGTTGGTGGAAGAATGATGAATAAAGTGCAATGTAAGTATACTAGAGAGGTAAAAATAAAAGTAGATAATGTAAAAATTATTAAATATAAAATTATTAACAGTCCAAAGTAAATATAATTTTGGAAAATTTTTGAATTTTCTCCACCTAACAGATAGGGTAAATCCCATTTAGTAATTAAATTTGCAGAATTATTTTTATTACATTCAACCACTCTCTCCCCAGTCAACTACAACAAGCACAAATGCCACAAATGCCCTTAGCAATCAAAATTAATTACAAAGTTTAATTCTAAAAGGGGTCCTCCACTTACTGGTTGTATTATATTGTATTCCTAATGTTGGGTACCATCTGCTTCCATCATAAAAACTATTAAGGAAAATAAAGCAAGTATTACCTATTTTGATTTATTTGATGTTGGATGCACGTAATTTGGATAATGTCCCAAGCAACCACTAGGTCTATAAAATCTATACATATTTGTAGTAAGTTTTACCAGATTTAACCACTGTTAAAACGTTAATTCAGTGGATGGGTCCCAACTAGCCCACTTTTAAGTTAATCATGCTTAATTATCAAGCAACAATAAATGATTGTCCGTATATTACTTACCATTCCATGGGGTTTAACTGGAAGTTTAATCAATTCCTTCACTCTCTTTCTTAATTAGTATAAGCTTCTTGTCTCTACCTAGCTGCTGCTTATATATGTTAATTTTTTTGTAACAAAAATTTAATCTTAAAAAAAATTATATTTTTTTTTAACTTTCCTATTTCTTGTATCTGTGCTAATATTTAGGATATTTTAAATTACTATTTAAATCTTCTTTCTATGATTTGCACTATTTCAAAGACTACTTACTTTCCCTCCAACGCATTTCTCGTGGGTCTTATCTTCAGACTTGTCTGTTTATATCTCAGTTTTTTTTATATTTAATATAAAATTTTTATTCCCACATTTTTTCCTTTAACGCATATTACCGTCCAAGAGTAGGGCGTAACTTTCACGCACATATAGATGAAGCGAGAGTGGGGCACGTGGGCTTGCTGGTCATCGGCTGCGTGACTGGATAAGATTAAAAATATCCAAAACCAGTAGATACCACTGCCACTTCACAACCATAGATCCGGAACAAAACAATACATATATGTGATGGTAAGGAGATGGTGAGCAAAGAGGGCACAAGGTTTCTGCAGCAATGGCAGCCAAACTGGCTCTTTATTCTCCTCTCAGTGCCAAATTTCCACTCTCAACCAAGAAACCCTTCCTCCCTTTTCATTTTCCCACCTTAAATCCACCAAGAACTAGAGTTTATCGTCTCGGAGTTCGTGCAAAACTAGGTTTAAGGGACAACACTCTTCCACTCCATTAGCTTTGTTGTATTTTTTATACTTCAACTTTTCCCGCACACTTGAATTATGTTGTTTTTTTAACCTCTGATGTTCTTAGGTGGGGGAGAAGGAGAAGCCAAGCCAGGCGGGAAGAAGAAGTTCATTACCAGAGAGGAAGAACCAGAACAGTAAGGCTTCCAGAATTATTGATTTCTTACATTTTAGAAAATGTTGAAGTGAGCGCTTAAAAACATGTGAAATACTTTATAAAAATTGCTTCTAAATGCTACCCATTTGTTGAATCTTTAAAGAAGTCATATAATTGGTGCCATCGATTACCAAAAAGTGCAGGTATTGGCAGACGACTAGGTCCTAAAAACTATCCAGGTACTTTATAAGTATATGATATTGGGGGAAGAAAAACACTTTTCTTGCTTTTGGAATCTGAGAAGAATCTTATATTAACCCCCAAATATTACCCTTCTTCTTCGTAAAAAATGCTTTTAAATATTGTTTCTTTGCCGAATCTTTATGAGCAACATATACATTGGTTATTGATTACTCAAAAGTGCAGGTATTGGCAAACTGACCAACTCTTAAAAACTATCCAAATACTTGACAAATATGTGAAAAAAAAAAAAAGAAACACTTGACTTGCTTCCAAAATCAAAGAAAACACTGACACGAGCCTCATAAAAAATGCTTTGAAAATGGTACCCATTTTTCGATTATTTATTACAAAAAAAAAAATGCAGGTTTTGGCAGACAGCAGGGGAGAGGGAGGGGGAGAATCCAATGAAGACACCCCTTCCCTACATCATCATATTCGGTATGTCGACTCCTTTTGTGATCCTAGCCATTGCCTTTGCCAATGGCTGGATAAAGGTACCCGTTCGATAATCTGATCAAGATGAAGCAGCAAAAATTGTCGCGGGAACAGAGTTTCTTAGTACTGTTTACAAGATTTGAGTTCAAATTTGAGCATTATGTCTATATGCACTTTATTATTGTTTTTTTTTGTTTTGTAACATTCCTAGTGTATCATAATTCAAACTGCACTTTTTATGAATACAATTGAGAGGGTAAGAGCAATTGCAGAGTGTGCTTGTCCGCGCAACCAAACGACCCGCTGTGGATTTGTCCAAGCAGTGCAGAAAGAGGAGGGAAGAAGATTCAGGAAAAAAGAGAGTTTCTCTTTATGCGTTGGTTAGGTTTAGATGATATGCTTAATCAAATTACAGTTATCTTATCCATTCATTTTGCAACAGATACCTGCAAAAATTACACCATATTTTTTTTTATCTACAGACACAAAAAGACCCATCTCTGTTATAATTTTGTTGCTCCAGAAAACAGTAATTTTTGAAGTAAATATAGCATCACTCTTCCAAGAACATCAAAGCCAGCTTGCTCATTCTGAACAGTAAAAGAAATTGAAACAGTGTAACGGACGGTTAAATGTCACAGTGAAAACATTGAACTAGGGGGTTACTATGGCCCCAAAAAACCTCCTTTTTTCTCTTCAAGTGAGTTCCAAAACAAATTAATAATGCTATATGTCAGCTGTAATTCTGTTCAAACCATTTGCAACTTCGTATGTAACAAGTAATGATTTCTGAGGTTTGAGGATTTAGCAATCCTGGCAACAGAGTGAGGGCACCATTGGTTGCCTTCAGATCCTTATCCTCTGTGAAAGGAACCAAGTGCGGCCAACAAGCAACTGCAGTTTGAGATGGAGAAGGGAATCCATGACTGCAATGGAAAACTATAATGGCTTAATTTTGCGATTTAAGTAAGCAATAACATCAGATACTGGATGGCTTTAATATTGTATTACAACTTCTTGCTAAATCAAATATTGTATTAAAAATTGTAATTGCCACAGTTTTCAAAACAAGGTTGTACGAGTCTTGAGTCCAACAGAAATGTTGGCAGAAATAATGGTTTCACAAACGGAAACTTTGTCGTATGAATAAGGAATACATTAAATAAACAAGCACGAACTCCTCTTTACACCCTCACACCCTCCACTGATGGTTGTGGATAAGGGGCTCTAGAAAGTACTTTTCATTTCCCCATGAATAAACTCAAGATCTTCCAACATCAAGAATTGCATGTTTTTGAATTCCTATAAAGAAGAAGAAGAAGAAGAAAGAGAAGGAATAGGTGAAATATTTTGCCCAATAATGGCTGAAATGAAGCGAACTCAATGGAACACAATCTCACTGATGCAACTTACAAGAGTAGATTGTCATATCCAAAATGAATAAAAATCCACATAAGTGGGTTTACATGGCACAAACAAAAAAAAAAAGAAAAAAAAGAAAAAAAGAACCCTATGTTTTTCCCACTAACTTTTTTTCTAACCCATTAATGCAATTGATATAACTATTTCCTAACAATATTACAAACTCCAGAAATTTGGGGAAGTATTTCATTTCTTCACCTTCTTCAATGGTTTGTACAGTACTACAGTCACATATTTTGTGCGGAAGCGATGAGTGGAACTAAGTGTCGCCACAGATTGGCCAGTACACCCTTTTTGAATGTATAGATGATTCAAAACTGCCGTCAGAGGCTTCTCCAGAGACTCATCTCTGGAAGATGATGGCTGATCCAGTAGTGATTGCTGCAATAGTGGGGGCAATTCTGGTACCTTCTCATTGAAATCTTCCAAAGTGAAGACCGAGTTATTATAACTTGACACAGGGGAAGAAGGAGACTCAGACCCAGAAATGCTGTTGAGGGCTTCTGGTACAGAATCCTGCACAAGATATAAGCCATTTTGCAATCGATTGTTAATTTAATCAAAAAGCAAAAAATGTATTTCGTTAGTATTTCTTGCATATTCTGTTACAGTGAATTCTCTCTCTTATGATCTCCCAACAAAAACCAGCAAAGCTGCATTGTGTAGTTAAGAATGATGAATAAATTCCAACAAAAAATTTCAAATAACAGTGACAATATGTATTACTCCATAAATAAGTAAATCACTGTTCTTGCAATACCCATAAAATAAAGAAGCATGAATAACCACCATGCAATATTTCTTTCACTAAACTACTGCACAGAATGTTGGAGTAAAATAGCTTGATAGCTAAGAACAAAGGACAGTCCCATACAACTGAAATGCGTACTTGACTGTCCTTTAGGCGAGAGAGAGGCCTCGCTATTCTTCAAAAGATAAAAAGGGCATTCTTTGGGACTCTGTAAAATACTGCTTAGTGCAAAGAGTGTCCCACTAACTATAATGTCTATGTAATATGTATGCCTATATATATACTCGCAGATCTTCTATCCCATCTCTTATTTTTGCTCCGTGCATTATAGAGATTCTCCCCTCTCCATTGTCCCTTCTCTTTGGGGCTTTGCTCTACCCTTCACTAGCTTCCCCTCTATCTTTTCATATCAGATATGTAGTGTCATGTTTTCCTGGCCCTCCATTTCCTCTTACTCAGCTATTATTGGGACGGTGAAGCATTTGATGATGAAATTAACATTCTATAAAGATCCTCCACTATGTTATGCTTCCACTATACATTTTATGGAAAGAGGTGCAATTCTAGAACCGTTAGGAGTGATTAGATCCATTAGTGGGCACACATACCCACAGTTGTGGATATAACAATCTCCAAATATCCTTCTCAGTAAAAAGATAGGTAATTTATCTGAAAGTATCAGATAAGCAATGCATCTCTCTCTCTCTCTCTCTCTCGTATGCAAATATATAACAATGGAGGTCAGGGCTCACATTTATACCAGTATGGTTCTTATATCTTAATTACAGATGCTTAATCCGTTTACTACTTAATCAAAAAATACATCCACATAAGATTGAAAGCAGATTTGTTTTGACATGAAGAACTTTGAAGGAGTATAATTACTGATGAAGTAGGCGGCAGCAAGGCTTCTAGGCAAATTTCAGTTACAAGGCCCGCAAGGAAACAGGATAAGGTTGAACTTAGTACCACCACCTCATGATTTGTTGGCCATAATAGTTTATAAAATAATGTTACTCAAAAGACACAGGAAAACATAGTTTCCAAGTTATTTCTAAAGAAACGAACGTTCTTTTCTTTAGTCAAATGGCTGACGCACCCTTTTAGAACACTATTTTGAATCTCCAGCCCATGCAACTAAAGTTTTCTATAGGTTCAATTTCATAAGGTTCCTTCCTGGCAATAAGATGGTTCCGTTCATCTTGGCATAATGGGAAGCTAAACAAGGATAGAGCAAACTGAAAAGAAGTCATAGAACAACAATATTTAATAAGCAATTGAATCTAGATAATTGATATTCTATCATTAATTTGCAGCAGCATATTAATGAAGACTCTGGAACCAAATTAACAGAATGCATGTGAAAAATCATGGATCTTATAGCTGATAACGTAGAGATCCAGCAATGAAAAGAATACCATAATATTTAAACAACATCTAAAGCTATTTAGTGTTTTGACCTCATATTATCAGCTGTAAAACTTGTAGTAGCATAAGCAATGCATTATTCTTCTGCATGTGTGACATCCATAGATTATTGAATGATACCAAGTCAATATGATATATAGGCAAATTTTGGCAGTTTAGGAATTGTGTTTTTCTTCCACTTTTTTTTTTTTTTTTTTTTGGAGGGGGGGGGTGGTTGTGTGTAGGGACAAGAGAAGAGATATGTTTAGATTTTAGTCATCATATTATAAATTATGTAAAACTTGGTGCATTTGCTGTTATTCTCCTTTTATTTGGTTCATGAGCTTCTTTGACTCGGATTCCAAATGTCACTAGAACATATTGGAGGTCTGAGTTTAGTCAGCAATGGCACTGGGGATTCTACTCAGGCAAATGCAAAGGATAGAGCAAAATATGACATTATTTCCATAGGTTGTCTATTTAGTTTCTAATTCATATGTTCCAGAAAATTTATATATTTTTCTGGAAGTGCACTTGTGTTTTAAGAAATGCTTTACAATGATAAATTGCTGAAAACAGCTCATTTTCACAAACACGTCTCCCTTCGAAAATGAAAATTAGTTCAACTTTCTAAAGTCTAATTCTAAAATACCAAATAATTGAATTGGAAAAAAAAAAATTTCAAGTGAACATCAAATTAGTTCTTGTTAATATATCATCGTGAACATGCAGCATATTCAAACTCAAAATAAACCTAAAGCAAGTAAGACACATCCGTGTTACTGTACTAAGTCCATAAGTACACAAGTGAAGTCCACCGCACCAACAGAAAACGCAGAAGAAACAACAGCCCAGGGAAGTGATATTGATGGAGCTAATATTCTGAAAATTAATAAAATTACCTGTAAATCTAAGACATTATAAATATTCCCGAAATCATCATTCTCCAATGGCAAGTCCGGAGAATACCTCACTTCCCCATCCACAATAAAATGGTAATGGTAAACGCCAGATGGTAGCAATTTCAAAATTGAAAAATCTTTGCCTGATTTTTGCATCAAATCTCTGGAAGATAGCAGCAAATTGTTGATATCAGACATTTTTGAAGTTCAGAATCTCAAATAGGATGTGGGGAGAAAAAAAAGAAATAATCAATGTGACACCTCGTCTTCCAATTGTCCCAAGATCCCTCAATTGCTACATACTTGCCCTCATAATTCCATGTGATGATTGACGGTATCCCACTAACAGAAATTGTACCATCATGGTCCTTTGCATTCTGCATAATCTCATTAGAACTTTGTAAAGGATTAACAGGAACCTGAACATGAAAAAGAAGTTCCAAATAAATCACGGATTTGGACTTGCTCTCCAAATAACATTTAAAATTAACCTTCAGGTCCGTCCAATCTTTTCATTCCATGTTAAGTGACATAATTGTCAAATCAAAATTTTCCTCCTTCGGACGGAGCACAAATACTGGCCATGAATTCTTCCAAAAGTTGAAATGTGGTCTGCTCATTTTTTAAGTTAACTTTTCAGTCCAATGATAACTGCTTCTTTACTTTTTTCTTATTTTTTAAAAGTTCAAGAATATGATGTACAGATATGAATTCTGAAAATTAATACAATAACTTCACTACTATTCAAAAAACCATGTGCTTGCCAGCAAAAGTTCAAAGAAATTGAACCAATAGATTGCCACATAAATTAGATTCATTCTCCCCTTAGAATCATTTAATCCTGTAAACGAACATATACAAATAAAATATCATTCCAGTGAATTAAGTATTTTCTTTCCGTTCTCTCTTATCCCAAAAACTATATAAACCCAGTATTACACAGAACTTCTCATGATTTAAGTACACAAATATATATTGAATCTGACCTGAGGAGTGAAAATCAAAGGAGAGCGGTCAGCCCTAGGGCTACAGGGAGGGGACTGAACCATGGACTCTGGAAAAGGGTCATGCGCATGATAGCTAACTGGCGCACACTCCATGTACTCTTCACCCCCTTCATTCCCAGTTCCAGAGGGACCGGACTCATTTTCTCTGGTACCGGCATTACCCATTACTGAAAAATATAAGAAACCCAGTTACAATAGTTCTCAAAGCATGATTACCCAGATCGCAGGCAGGCGCATACATGTAAATACACATATGTAAGCAAACCAGTGAAGAAGGTAAAAAAAAATGCCGATACAGTAGAAACCGCCGGTAGGGTTTTATTAGTTACATACCCATGCCTCTATAAATAAATTTAGCAGAGACCCAGGATTAATCGAAGGGCAGGTAACATGATTTTTGCAGCTTTGTATTGATTGAGGGAAAGCTTTATTTGTCCTCTCTCCCTACAAGTGCTCTCTCTTCTCTCTCTGCAACTGCCTCCCCCATGTCGTAAAAGTGAGCAGAATAACGAAAAAGTGATTTTTATTCTCCAATGAGTTTGGAAGATCCCGCGGTGAGCTCATGATGCTGGTTTAAAAAGTGTCGAATGTTTTGAGATCATTAATCACTCTTTTTCACGATACTGTTTCTGGGAAGGCGCCAATTATTAACTGCTACATCAGTTCTCTTAGAACCCGCCCATTACTTGAAATTACATCTTGTGCCCCAAGTTTAAACGTGAAATGACAATTATGTCCTTCGTTTGATGACGTGGCATTCTCTGAGTTATAACTTTAGTTAGTGTGTTAAAGCTAATGTCATGAATTTTTGCACTGCCGTCTGGGAGTGCATTAGTGGGATCGCTTCATTATTTTATCGGTTGGCAAATGTATCTCAATTCTAGCTCATGCCTAACAGACCTATTAGGGTTTAAATCTGATAATTCAATTTACCATTTTTTAGAGTAAATTTTTAACCTCAGTGAAAAACAGTTCTTTTTTTTTTTTATAACTTAAGATTTTCTATTTGGTACAAGTCACACATCTAACTAGAGATAAATAACAAGTGAAATTTGATCCTTTCCCTCAATGGTGTCTATATCTTTGTTTTCTTCTCTTATAGTACAGTAAGAATTTTGTTTTAAAACCAAATTATCAATTTTGACATATTACAAAGCATAATTAAATATCAAATTTAACTGAAAATCCAATTATAAAATCCAGGGTTTAATTTTATTTTGATCTTTAAACTGTATTTAAACTAATTGGATTCTAATTTTATCTCTAAATAAATCATGAAAGGGCCAATAATTGATGATCATGTGATAGATGGGAACATGATAGAGTAGCCCATCTCTTTTGTTTGTGGGAAGCTTGCCCCCCTGAAATATATTACAATCGAATTTTTAAGAAAAATCAATTTTAATAGGTTAAAGTACATTTAACTTGAGATATCTTTTATTATTATTGTTAATAATAAGTTTTATAAAGTTTTTAAAAAAAATTTTAATATAAGAATAAATTAAACTGATTTTTATTTCCCAGAACTCAGTTTTTTTAATCAAGAATGTCAATATCCTAAAATTTATTAATATTTTTTAATTAATAGAAAGCGGGGAACCAAAAACATCCTCAGTAATTGGAGTCCATTTCTCTTTCCTCGCTCACCTTCATCAGATTCTGTTCCTAAATAACAGAGTCTTAGTCATTATCCTTCTGGTACATGGTCCTAATACCTCCTCATACTTAAGTTGTTTGCTTGAGGATTCAATAGGCACCCATTGTCTGTCAGTTTTCAAATCTCTTCTGGAAGTGAAAGGATGCACCTGTAGATGGATTGTTTTTGGGGAAAAAAAGTCCCCAGTACTCAGGTGTTTCTGCAAACTGCTTTTGAAGAATTTCCAGAGAACATGTTCAAGTTAGGAAATAGCAACAAATTGTTTACAAAAATCTCGAAACTACTTTAATTGAAAATGAAAAAACAACAGGGTGTTGAAGATTTCTAGGTTCCCTGTTTCTGAAAATAGAAACAAGAATTGAGAATAGAAAACAGAAAATACAATGCATATCCGAACTACCTTTTCACAGCTACAAGAAAGAGGACAAACACTCTTCCATCAACATCAACTTACGCATCCAAATCAATGCCCTCAATCTCTGGGTTCATGAATTTTTTTTCCCTATATGTTCCTTCCTCAGCCTTTTTATCTTTTTCAGCTTACAATGGAATGTGTCCCATCATGTCCTAGTTGGCTACACTGAGAAGTCACCCTCATAGCCAACTTAAGATGTAATGAGAATGGTTAGAATTTCACACCTGTTTGGACTTTGCCAGCAATGGAAAGGAAAACTCTTCCAACACCAGGAGTGGCAAATCAAAAATTAGCATATGTACATGCATCTTCATGAGTTCATCGTTTACCTCATCGAGGATAAAGAAAGAAAGGAAGAAGAGGGGATGAAGATCAACGTGGTACACAAGAAAGAGCAAAGTGTGGAAGCAGTGGGCATCTCCTTTTGTTACTCCAATCAATGGCAAGAAGCCCAAAAAGCAATGGAGATGCTGGCAGCCTGATTTGGGTGTAGAAATTCAGAAATTATTATTATTATTATAGTTTTTAAATTTAACAAATCAAGTGTATAAATCAAGTGGGTAAAAGGTGCTTTTGAAATTTGAAGGGAGAACACGGACTTTATTTGATTAATTAACAGAGAATATTATGAACAGATTGGTAGTTAGAGGTAGGCATCAATAGGAGGGAAAGTGGAGAGAGAGGGAGAGAATCCGGTGGAGTCAGCTTCTGAGTCCCCACCCAAATGTTGGTAACAGGACAAGTATTGGGACAGTACAGGTGGTCCTGTTACTTGACATGAATGCTTGAATTCTTCTTTTTCAAGTTTGGAAGAAGAAACCAGGACGGGAAATTCTAATTTTCTGAGTGTGCGGAGCTAAATTGAAATAAATAAAATATGAAATACCTGATTCAGAAATATTTA